CGGAGCAGGTGCTGTATCGCGATTTATTTCATTCACATCGGTCAGCTAAAACCGCTTAATGCCCCAAATATCAATTTTCACCTCTTTTACAGTCTTACCTTGTACAAATATAGTGTCAAAAAACAATTATTCAAATATAAATAAACAGCGGTGCTTAGCAGGGCGGCTGGTGTGATCATGCGTTTTGTGAAACTCTGTCCGGTCGACAATTGTACAACCCTATCCAGCGGATGCTTGTGCAACTCTGTCCAGTGGAACCTTGCTGTTAGAAGTGTCTGTTGCATTACTTTTTGATTTGTATAGAAATTCTCGTAGTTTCTGCATTATTTTTTTGGAGCCAAAACTTTTATGTGTCAGCACAAGAAAAGCGAGTGTGCGCAAGGAATAAACTACATGCGAACAGGAAATATTTTTATGAAATTTCAGCTTCCTAGCTTTTCCGGTTACAGTGCTAACAGTTTTCGCGTCAAAACTTTCATGCGCCTGTACATGAGACCGAGGCGTAAGTGAAGGCTAAATTTAAACTTAGGCGAATGTACGTGAGAAGAGGACACTATCCTAAAATTTCAGCTTCCCAGCTTTTGTGGTTCACGAGCTATTAATTCTGGCACCTGAACTTTCACGTGTTCCTGCGTAAGGTCTAAGCATGCACGTGGCTGAATTTGGGTTTGTAGGCCATACGTAAGTAGGGAACATTTTCCTAAAATTTCAGCTTCCTAGCTTTCCTGATTATCGAGTTAATAATTTTCTTACCAAAAGTTTCAAGTGTCCATACGTGAGACCTATGGATTGCGTAAAGGCTGAGTTTAGCTTTACGGGGTCATACACGAGCAAGGAACGTTATCCTAAAATTTCAGTTTCCCGGCTTTTGTATTTTTCCAGTTAATTTAGGCGCCAAAACTTTCACGTGACCGTACGTGGGATGTGAACATATGTGTGTGCTGGATTTGAGTTAGTGGCATTATACGCAGGTAGAAGGTCTTTCTCTCCCTCTCCCCCCTCCTCCCTCCCCTCCTCCCTCTCGCCACCTAAAATTTCATCTTCCTAGCTTCTTCGGTGCTCGAGTTGAAAACCACGGATAAAATGCACCGAAACGTACACAAAGCATGCATTTTGTGCAAATGTTGCATTACAAGGGCATAAAAACAGGCAATTCCGTAGCAAAAATCCAATTATCTGTCAAATTTTTCACAAAACCAAAGGTTTTTGATAAAGTGAATTTTTTTTTTCAGTTATTCCTCTACTCGGATAGCTATGCCTGACATGTGCGAGCATTTTACCAAGATGACTCAACAAACAGTCTAGGTATTCCTCTTCATTCAAAAAGGAAATAGTTATTTTAGAATTTTAGGGGATGGAACTTAGTTTACCTGATCGTACAAGCCAAAATAATTATTCTTCAAATCAATAATCAGCCGTATGATCAGCCCCACTAGCACCACTTCCGAATCATCGATCGTCACCTGAAATTGCTTACATTCATTAACAGTACAAAATGGAGGCAAGAAATACTACAATCCCTCGATAATACAAAATCCAGCCCATAATATATCAGTTATAGTGAACTAACCAAAAATAAAGGGTAAAAATCAATGGAAGACGGAAACCTCAAGCAGTAGCTGATCTGGAGGTAATGTGAGTGGCGCTGTTTGTTTATTTGCTGAAGACTTGATTACGTTTGTTGGAAGATCTGATAACGGATCACGGTACAACGGATAGTAGGTGTACTCGAATAGCAACGTGATAGTTTCAGTCCGCCACAGTTCCACCCAATCCTGAACAAAAACTCGAGAATTAATTCGAAAATTTGGATGCATATCGCCAGAGATCCCAAAACAAAATAACTAACATTAGATCCCCAAACTTACCGTTCTGGCGTCTAACCCATATGCGGATCCAGGGCGGTCTCTTGGGGAAAAAGGAAGGGAGGGAGGGGAGGGGGGGGG